TAACACCTCTTCATTCATCCTAGTGGCATCAGGAGCTGCGGTGTCACACAGTATATCCTTTTGTCCAACCAGCCCCATGCAAAATATTCAGTGTAATGAGTCATTGGTCTGGTTCAAGGTCTCTGGCACACCATCGTTTCTGGACCCTCACCGAAACTCCTCTCAGACATTCTGCTGTTGCTTGGAGTCATGGAGATCTTGCGGTTATACATCTGGCTTTTTACATGGGTGCTGAAGATCTGAACTCGGGTGCCTCACCTCAGATACTTTATCAAATAAGCCACTTGTCAGCCCTGAAGGAAAATATCAGAGAGCTTACTTGATGATGCCAGTTTCAAATATTTCTCTAAGTGTATAATGTGTGGGTTAGGAGCAAGTGGGCTACTACATTTTACTCTCAGGACTATTGCCTTTTTTTCCTTCAGGTTATATACTTTTGGAGACCAATAAACACAGTTCTCAGTATGAGAAAAAGCAAGCCAGACTTGAGAGCATGTTTAGACACATCAAGCAAGACTTTTCTTTTTTCCTTCCTTTCTTTTTTTTTTTTTAACTATCATAATGGCAAAGTAAAAGACAGAAGGCGTGTGAGGCTGAGCAGAGGCTGAACACGATTAAGTGCCATTAGCCTGGTCAGTGTTCTATCAAAAACCCATTACCGTTAATTTCTCAGCTCTACTCATGTAAAAGAAAAACACTGAAAGTGTAGGAGGGGGGTGTTCACAAGATGAGTTGGTACAGAGAAGTCTATATGCCATACCTACCAACTCACCCGGGAGTGAGGAAACTAGTGTTTCCCTGGGAAATGAGAGGTACAGAATTTGCCATCAAAGTAGCCTGAAGCTCTAGCCTTTCTTTACCAACATTGTTTTACAAATTATGATATAGAAAAGACACAATTGGGGGCTAGAGAGATGGCTCAGTGGTTAAGAGAACTGGCTGTTCTCCTAGAGGACCTGAGTTCAATTTCCAGCACCCACATGGTACAATTGTCGGTAACTCCAAGATCTGACACCCTCACACAGACATACATGCACATTGATACACATAAGATAAATTATTAAAAAAGGACACAACAAATTTATGTATATCGTTTTAATAAAGGACATAGGAAGATAAAGCATTTTTCAGTATTTCTGCAGCAAGATACACGATTTTAAGAATACTATATACAGTCACTGTAAGCAGACTGATGGCAAAAGAGATTTATAGTAAATTGGCAACTTGAGCTTAACTGTTGAAGTCCCCCAGCATCTTTCCTTTTCTGGCTCTCCAATACGTTCCATACATTATCAAGACCCAGTTCCCGGTTTCCTGCTGTGCTCCTTTGCTGATTTAGACAGCAGGCTGAGAGCAATTACTCTTTGAATGCATCTTATCTTACTGTTCTTTTCTTTTAGCCATCCCCTACCAAAAATCTGTATCCTGATAGACTGAATTCACTGTGTGTTTTATCTCGTTCTGTTGACAGATGTTAACTAGGCTACCCCAAAGAACACATTTAACAGTTTTGAACACTGTGGCAGGACACAGCCTTAGCCCTTGGGGGAAGTAAACTAGTCAAGGGTTGCATGCTGGTAAGAGCCACCCATTCTTTACTATATTTCATAATGCCCACATGCAAAGGCTACAGCATAGTATGGTATATTATAGATATGGTTAAAGAAATGCAAATGTAGCATACTCTGTCAATCATTTCCTCCTGACCGGACAGAGTGCATGAACTTTCTGCAAACATGGAACTTGCAAAAGGGTCTGATAATCTTGCTAGATGTCCTCTGTGCCTGCTTTTGCACAGAGCATGTCTTTTGGCCCCACTGAGTATCTTAGCTACTCTGACAGCAGATATTTTAGAACAGATGAAGGGAATGTTCACTTCCTGTGATTTTGGACTTCATTAAAAAGGAGAGAACAGAACAATCCCTGTAAAATATTCGCTCTAATGACCTAGCACTTGCCTTAAAAGAAGGGTGTGCATTCATGTATTCATGTCCATGTAAATGTCCACATATGTAGATGCGTGTGATGAGAGTTGAAAGGGATAGACTAAGAGTGATTGTTACATTCCCGTCAGTTGTGGCCTGGTTAAATCTTAGGTGTATATTGCAGTAATGTATGTATACACAGTATTCTTAAAACATACCTGTCAGGACTGTGCTGAAATAGCCATTAACATAAATGCCTACACTCTGTGCAATTTGGCACGAACGTGAGGAAGCACGTTGTTTTCCCTGGAAAAGTGAACCCTGAGATTGGGCTGTCTGGGTGCCACAAAAGATTATGGCACTGGCTGATGCCGTCTAGTGAGAAATACATATGTCATGTGGGGCCAGTGAGGAAAAGAGGCACATATTGCATTAGAAAATAAAGAGCTGTCTAAATCACACACTTCAAGAATTTGGAGTGTGATTCCTTTCTGTTTGTTCCTGGTGTTCTAAGGTGGTCCCTGGCAATTCCTGCACTAGAAGTCTCTCTAACAGTAGGCTGTCCAAAATATCTATGTGCTTTTGGATGGCACTTTACCTCTTTTATCTTAAGCTTTTGGAAAATAATTTACATTCTATGTCTTTCCAAGAACATTATTGGAACTAATGGAAGAACATTAATAAAGTACTCTAGGCTCTGCAAAATAATACTCTGCACTGAGAATGTGGAAGGAAAGAATGGAGCAGACCTGGTGCTCAGAAATGCGGTAATAGTTAAACCCTTCATTCCAGTCCTACCAATAAAAATACGTAAGAGCACGAGGGAGTTACATAGCACCTTTCAACTGTGGGATATTAGCAAAAGTAGCTCCATTTTCCCACTGTGGAAGAAGAGTACCAAAGATTGGGGAATGAGATCCCACAGAAGTATTGGGCAGGGTTCCAGGAAAAGAAAGCCAATGAGTGAGGTCAGGGTGTTCTGATTATAAAGCAAACCTGCCGTCTTGACCAATAAGTAATCACTAAGATGCCTATATACAGTATCCAATGCACAAAGAATCTGTGTATAGGGATATAATCAATGTCTATAAACTAATGGGATCAAGATACTAAAACAAGAATAGGGTTTCTTCTTTCTTCAAGTACCCAGAAAACCCCGTTTATTTGGCATTTTGGAGATAGTATAAGTCTTAAGACACTGAACAGTCAGCTTGCATTAACCTGAGCTTTACCCTTCCACTACTTCCCCGTCGTTTACTAATATTGTCCTTTGTAACAGGATTTCTAGAAGGGCTGAATGCTAGCTAATACACTCGACAGAGGAGAAGTTCCTGATGCTTTCCTGACTTTGCAGCTTCTGGATCTTAGTGGAGACAATAGTTGGGGCTGGGAAGGTTGCTTTGACGCTGACTTGCTGTGGAGTGCTGCTTCCACCGTTTTAGAGAAAGGTGCATTTCTATAGGACTAGAAGGCAAGGCCTGTGGATCCTAGAGCCATGTGAATAGTCAAATATACTTCCAAGGGAAACCTAGACAAGAAGGGTGCTTCAGACGGAGCATGGAAAGGCAAAGTTCTTCCCATGTGAAAGCATACACTTTCACTATGAATCCAGCATGCACAGTCTTCTAGGTTGCTCCTCAATCTGTGAATTTTGAAAGCAGCCCCTTGGCCCTCTCCCTAATAGGCTTATTCATGTCTTGTATTCTCTCAAATGAAATGCAGACCACAATCTATTTATTTGATGCTAAATGCCTCACCTTGGTTAAAACGACCTAGGGGGTCCAAATGGACCCATTTTGTGGTTGCTTTAAATAGCTGGACTGTTTTCTTTCCCAGTTGCATTGACACCCCAACACAGATTTGTTTGTACCAAGCAACTCCCTTTCACTCAGAGACATTTTAGAAAGAATAATTTAGTAAACCCAACTATCTCGTAAGGAGTTCAATTCCTTGATAACTGTGAGCTCCCTGTAACTCCCACTGATCTCCGTTAAGAGTTGGGGCTTTTATTGTCAGCAGCTGTGCATTAGAGTGCTGGTTGAAAAATGAAAAACATCAATACTCTTAGGTACTATTATTATAAAGAAGCAGCATTAGTGTCCATCTCATTGATCCAGGCACTAGGTCTGAAAGGAGGGCTGGTTATAAATAAGTGGGGAAATGGATGTAAACTCTCTTAATGGCTGAACTGCCACCGAAGCTTAAAGAAAGAGGACTGGACTATCACTGTTCAGTTAACTCTGTACATTAACTCCTGCTGTGAAAACATAGACCTTTAGCTAATCCTCAGGCTAGTGTCACATCTGAAACATTGTCGTCTTCAATAGAGTTTTAATTATACCTGAAAATCACCCTTAAATCCTTTTTATAAAATGGATGGGCTGTAACTTGGGCTTACAGTACTTCTACCATTACAAAAGTAATTTACAAAGGCTAAAATAAAGCTATAGAGCAGAGAAATGAATAAAATCGAGATTTTGAGCATAGTCTGGCATTAGAAGTTTTTAAGAAAGTAATTCCTTTTATCTTTTCCCAAGACAGGGTTTTCGTATGTAACCCAAGCTGGCCTAGAACTCACTGTGTAGAACAACTTGGTCTTGACCTTGGGATGCCAGACTTGCACCACCATGCTTGGCCTTAAAATGCTAATAGTTATGCTTACTAAAATGGAAGTCTGATCTAGTAGTCTTCCCTATTAGCTGTGGTGCTTTCTGAAACGTCTGTGACAGGACAGGTTTTGCATTGTTGTCCAATTCTCACAGGACCATGGTCATAGTCTATTTAATATCCTTCTTAAATTTCAGATAAATGATATAGGATTTGTTCAGAGTTCAGTGAATATTTAAATTGCTATTTAGTTGAAAAGCGTGACTAGATACAATCCTCAGTTTGTAAACCTTGACTTTTGGCAGAATTCTGCTGCACACACACACGTTTATATATGCCCATGAACATAAGCTGACTTCCCTCACAACTAGAAAGACCCTGCAGACAGATACGATTAATAGTCTTTCATGGGGGAATTGACTCCATAGTAATCTTTGGAATTCCCTTTTCTCCAACTAGATGANAATGCTTAGGCTTTCATGGATTGGGAGAGGGTAAGAAAGAAAAACTGGCTTGAAACAATTGTTTTCAAAATGAGTTCAGTCGGTAAAGTCAATTTGCAAAGTCCTGAAACATCTGCACAGCACATATTTGATGGAAGGCCCAAACTGTGAAGCTTTCTATCCAACGTGGTGACTTATTTTGAGGATTAGAGTGGTTCTCAACATTGCAGTCTGTAAGCCTCAAGGGACATGGTGTTTCCTGAGGACAAAAAGCAGGAATTTACAGATGAGTTGAACAACTGTGAATGGTTGCATAGTGACACCCAGTTCATAATCATTTGTAACCATTAAAATTGTTTTATGAAGATATGTTTTAAAAAGACAGACATGGATCAGAAGGGAAAGGCACTTACTGCCAAACCTGATGACCTGAATTCAATTCCCTGAACCCACATGGTGGAAGGAGAAAATCGATTCCTACAAGCTGTTCTCTGAAGCCCACATGTTTACCATGGCACAACTGAGCCCCACCCCAAACAAACAAACAAACAAAAAAGAAAGAAAGAAAATATATTCATATTAGTAATTTTGGTTCTGGATTGTGTCCTATGAAAATAGTTCCAATTGATTTCTTTTCAAGGACAGCATTCATAACTTTATTCCAAATAATGAAAAAAAAATATATATATACACACACACAGATGCACACATACACAAATAACTTCATTCATGCATGATTTTCTATAATCCTGTTGATTGTTCTTTAAAATAACCATCTTAATCATTATAAAATATTTTTATAAATTTTAATAATATTTATTAGAATGATGGAGTGGTTTATTTCATCAGTCCCCTATTGATAGATACTTGGTTCCATTTTAAAAATTCTGGCATTACAATAAATTGATAAATAATTATATAGATCTCTGGTTAATTCATTTAAATACACTCCCAAAGAGCAGTTAGTTATCAGCTAAAATATCATGAACATGAAAGGCTTTTATAGATGTCATCAACTTGCCCTCACACAATGAGTGGTGTATGGATTTAAACATACCAGCAATGAATATGAATACTTGTCTCAGTGAGTCTTTGTCAACACTAGGCAGTATAATCATAAAACCAGCTGATTCAGTAGACAAAAACCGGCAATTACATTTTGCTAATTCATACTTCTTTAGAGTGAGATTGAATAATTTTATTGATTGTATTGTTACTCCTTTTGTCCATTTTCTAACTTGTGTGTTTTTCTTAATGAGTTTCAAGAGATTATGAAATTAAAGATGTTCATTTCTGTATGTTGCATATTTTGCCAATGATTTTCCCACATTTGTCCTTTCATTTTGAAGGAACTATGTAGAATCCGTGAGTCTTTGTGTAAAGATCATGAAAATAATTTCTTATATACAAAAGCTGAAACAAAGTAAAATGTAAGTGTTTATTGGTTCTTTTTTTGAGATTTTAGTTTACCTCTATGTGTGGCTTTTTGGCCTGCACGTTTGTCTATGCGTTGTATGTATACAGTTCAAATAGAGGTAAAATCTCCTGAAACTGAAGTGAGAGTAGGTTTTGTGCCACCATGTGGTTGCTGGGAACACAATCTAGGTCCACTGGAAAAGTAGCCAGTGCTCTTAACCACTGAACCACCTCTTCAGCCCCAATAGTTACTAATTCTAAGTTACAAACTTGGGTATTCATTTCATATTTTAATTTTTCTTCAAAATAAAATAAAATAAAGGAAAATATATACAAAACTATAGTTTTGAATATATATATATTTCAAGTATTCTGTGGCTAGATATTCAAGTTGATATCAGATTGGAGATTTTACCAATACCATTATAGTCACTATCTATACATATTTTAAAATGTCTTCACAGCCCTGGCTGTCCTGGAACTCACTATGTATCCCAGAGACCTGTCTCTGCCTCCCTAGTGCTTGAATTGAAGGCATACACCACTGCAGCCAGATTCCTGACAAGTTTATAATAGTTTTCCCACTGTTCCCTCAAACGTTCTTTTATTATTATCAGAACATGTATTCCTTTTTTCCATAAAAACCAATCACCCAATTCACTTGGATAGTGTTCCTTGGAAAAAGTATTGATTGCTTAGAGGTCATTTTGGTTCCCTGGGGAAGTAGAAGCCATGCATTTCATGGTTTAGTATTCATTCCAGATGTTCATGAAAGGCGAGGGGGAATCACATGGACATATAAATTGGGAAATATCTTACCCCACTTTGGGGGAATTCCCAATATTCCTTAGCACATTAAAAATCTTAATATGTACTGCCAGAAGGGCAAGGTCCCATGACTTGAATAGGAGAGGACAAGAAAGGATTTGATAGTCAAGTAAATCCAAAGGCTGACTACAACTGCTGCTTAGTGAGTCACAAAGCCCATAGCACATTGAAAGGCCCATGAATTTCTACTCTGAGTATGCTTATATCCATGTATTCCTAAGTGTACTCTTCTGCAACACCTTTTCATCAAGCAGTTAATATACCAAAATACTGGCATTTCAGACTACCTTTAGACACACATATAAATAAAGAACCATCCTAGATAGCCGAAATGCAGGTATTACTAGATATTACAAGTCGCCTTCCCAAAATATCAAGCATTTCATCAAGGGCTTGAATAAGTAAACAGACTTAACTGGTCTCTATTTTAACTTTTAGTTATAATTGAAGCTGCATGGCCAGAGTCCATCAGGCCTTTAAATGCACCATCATAAGGGACATGGCGTGATTGGAAGCCATACAGTCCTGGGTTGCAATTTCAGGTGAGCCCCTTGGCAGCTGTGTAGCCTCAGTTTTCTCTCAAGAAAATATGAATTGTAACAGTCATCGTGGAGAGTCGATAGAAGTGCTTGGCAAACTAGCTGGCACACATGAGGTCTTTTACAGTACCTTTCCTTGTATCAGTCCATGGCAGAAGTTGTGCAGGGAAAGGACTGAAGACAGGGGAACCCACAAACAGATTAAGAGGCTTCTAACTGCTAGCCTTTCCATGGGGAAAGAAGTGACACCTTACCAGTTCAGAGCTTTGAGCACTGTGATACTTATATAGCTAAAAGTCCCCTTTTACTATGGAATTACATTGGTTTTATTTACTCGTAAGTGTCGCAAAGTTCCAGAAGGCTGGTTGTCTTTTCAACAGGAGAATCCTGTGCAAAACTCTGCCTGCCCCTCATAACAAATTAGTAGCATTTAGGATGTTTGGAGTACAGGTAGGCTGCTCTTTGCTTGTTAGTGGGTAAGAGTAGGTTATTAACAGACATAATGGAGTCAAGCACAAATAACTTATTTGTAATCTGTATTGTTTTGGAGACCTGGAATGCACCACGACAAGGCTTACATAATTCACAGTATGAAAGTAAATAACCTGAACAGGATATTTGGCTGGTTTTGGATCCCCTAGGGTCTTTTAGCACAGTGTGAGTTTGTCGGGAATAAAGACATCTTTTTCGGTACATTGCACAGGGAAATTTTGCACAGAACTTCTCCTGTGTGCAACAAGGGCGAAGAATTTAGCACCTTGCTCACCAGAATGCGAACACACGCCTTTTCTAGTTCTGCTCCCAAGGGTTCTTAGTCCAGGTGGCACTAAATGTGCCTCCTTCAGAGTACTGACCTGATGGAGACGCAGAAAACATGAAAACTGCTACGTTTCTGTTTCCACAGCAAGTGATGACGAGTCTCCTGAATAATCTGTAAGATTGAAAAGTACAGGTGAGCGCTATGTGCTCAGGGTGCCCCTCAGAGGTTTGTGCTGTTTGGTCCCCAATGTGGTAGCATTGAGTGGTGGAAACTTCCAGAAGTGGGGTATGGCAGAAGGTACTTAAGTCACTCAGAGTTTTAGCCTCAGAAGCAACACTGTAGTACTTATGGAACCCATGATAATTCTTGTATGAGAAGACTGTTACAAAGCAAAGCTCCTCCCAGTGTTAGGTCCTTTCTGCAGCAGCCATTTCTCTTTCTGATTGTGCACCAAGTTGTGGTGCAGGTGTGTGTATGGGAGACTCTGCTGTGACATTGTCAGCGTACTGTCTCAACTCTCCAGCCATCAGAAGTGGGAGACTACTTCATAAAGTACATAGCCTCTGATAACTTTTCTTAAAACAGTTTTTTTGAAACAGGTTTTCTCTGTGCAACAGCCCTGGCTGGCCTCAAACTCACAGAGATCTGCCTGCCTCTGCCTCCCTAGTCCTGAGATTAAGGGCATGTGTCATCATGCCAAACTCAATAACTTTTTATATTAACAGAAAATGGATTAAAGTGGTATTCAAATTCTTATACGGATGGATATTTGTTCAGTAACATTTTTGTTTAACCTCTGGATGTGGTCAGCATCCACAGAGCACCAAAGACTGATGTTCTACACAGAAACCTTTATAAGCACAGGCATTTACATGCCAAGAGTTGCTTGGTCTGCTGTACTACTAAGAATATTTTATTTATCAACATAATCTGATCCATAATATTGGCTGGTATTGGACTTAAATAGCTGTGATAAGGGCTCAGTGCCATCTGTCTTTAATGAAGAGTTTCAGGTTTTGTTACTCACAAAATGACTCTATCACACTGGAATTCCACTGCAGACAATGAGTGTTAGTGTAGTATCTTAGGTGTTTGTGTGTTTCTGAAAAGGAATGAGGGATCTAGACAAGAAGAGGTTTGGGGATTAATAAGAAACAACGGTTATGGTTCAAATGTTTTGTTTTTGATCTGTAGCTTTTTGGAAGTGGAAAATCCCCTCTGACTCACCTTGCTTAATATACAGATACACACTTTCGTCACAGTCCCCGCATCAGAATGTACATGTCATTTTGAGATAAAAATGATAACAGTGGTCACCCCCTACAGCATCCGGTAGATTTTCTTTTATAAAATCGACGTGACATTCAAAGTGCTCACAAAAGTGTGAAATCTGACTGAGGTTAACGAGCCAGGGTGGGCTACTTTTGCCATGGCAGGCTGGCAACCAAACTCACACTATTGAGTTAATCACGCTGACTTCAGAGCCACAGCAGCTTCTTCAAGCTATAGCGGAGAGCAAAAGAGGTCCTAAAAATGTTTGCTTTTGGAATCAGGACACTATTGTGGACACAATATTCTGTCTTCTCTAGAATCTCAGTGTCCTCTCCACTCTCACCTTTCCCTCCCTTTTCCCTCCCCCATCCCTCCCCCTCCCTCCCCACTTCCCCCTCTTTTTCTCCTGAAAGGTTTTTCTGTCAATTTGCAGCCCTCCTGCAACTGCTTTCCAAGTCCTGGTCTAACAGATGAGCATCATTCATCATTGTGCCTAGCTATCTAGGGTAGAGTTAAGTCAGAACCGAAATCGGATAGGGTAGCCCAATCTTCAGTGAGGGTTCCAGCATAGCTCATTTGTGAAAAAAGGGAAAACAGACGTAGCAATCAGTGGCAGCAATGACATTTTTTTTTTTTTTTTTTTTTTTTTTTTTTTTTNGTTTTTCGAGACAGGGTTTCTCTGTGGTTTTGGAGCCTGTCCTGGAACTAGCTCTTGTAGACCAGGCTGGTCTCGAACTCACAGAGATCCACCTGCCTCTGCCTCCTGAGTGCTGGGATTAAAGGCGTGCGCCACCACCGCCTGGCTCGCAATGGCAAGTTTTAAGGGCAATAAGAGCACTGGCCTTGTTGCTCTGGAGAAGTGGTGCTAACAAACTCTTTCAACCCTCATGACTAGCTGCTAGTTGCCTGCCTTGATACATTTTAGGTGTGTTTGGCAGGAAAATCTTCGAGAAGTTGATCTTCAGGATTTCGCTAAGTGGGTCTCTTTTATTTTTTTCCCCAGAGTGACTCACACTCTGATTTGGCACAACACTCCTACCAAACAATTATTTGAATTAAAACTGTGCTCTTGTGGGCACTGGCGCTTCAGATGAAAAACCTGATTTTCAATTTCCTTCATGGCATCCTTCCCAGGGTGAGATTAAGCTAAGACTTCATAGGTGAGGAATGAATTGAATAAAAGCAGCAACTTCAAAGAATTGTGTTCTGCGTAATAGAAGACAAATAACAGGATTTAGTAAGTCAATTCAATGCCTCCTACAGTCTGTACCTCCGCTGCTTCCTCCATCCCCTGCTCTGGCTGCTTATGCAGTAGTGATTTTCCTATTATCCAATCAAAAGTCTGTCAATTCAGTCTTATTGTATGCTTCTCAGCTCTGGTTTCCTTATGTTATCTAAGATCTATTTCCTCCTTTACTTTAAAATCTAGGTTAGCACATGAACCCTTCAACTTGGTTTTGTGTCTCTGTGTGTGTATTTTTGGCTACTGGTTCTCAGAAATGAGAAGAGTAGAGAAAGAGTACAATGTAGAGAATCCAAGAACTTGAGTCATGATTGCTTCCTGATACATTACTCACTTGGAGTCATCTCATCCTTTGCCTCCAGCCTCTCAGCCTTTTTGTCTGTAAAAGGCAGGCCCTGACAGTAGGGTTGGGGAGTCTTCACTGAGCTTTGTTTTCGGATACTCTAATCATGGCCCTCTACTTTCTCTTTCCCCATTGTCTGGGTCACACCGATGTATTTCAATGCACTTTATTTCCTGTCTCCACTTCTATTCTCTTACTCGATTATCTCCTGCTTGAATGCCAATGCCGTGTCTACGCAGATAACTCCCACATATCTCTAGTGAGTGGACTATCCCTAGCTGTATAAAAGATCTCTTAGCCTTGATCTTTTTTTCTCCCTTTCTATAGTTACTGCCTGCCGTGAAGCTATTATGATACAAACCAAGCTTTCTGCTATTCTTCCCATTTCTTATTTCAAAATGTCAATTTGGTCTGTGTACCAGTGCCCCAGTGATCGTCATAAAATATCATTCATTATATCAATATTAACAGGAAGTGATAGTATGAATAACAACTCTTTTATGAACTCTACCAAATCCTCTACCATGTTACGTCCGTTATGACTCATACCTGTTACCTATATGTCACTTGTTTCTTCCTAGTAGCCTTCTTGTGCCTCTTCCTTCTTCCTTACAATTGTCATTAGTACTATTTCCCCCTTTATCAGTATATTTACTGTAACTCTTCAGAAAAGGAAAATAACAAGCATAGCAAGATGTTCTCTTTAGAGAGCAGTGGTCAAAATACTGGCTGGGTAGAGGTGGCAAGAGACTATAGAAAGAAGACTCAGAGAAGAAATGGGTCCCCAAATTAGGAAGCTATGTTAATATTGTAAGTTGAGCATGACCTTTAGAACATAATAGCATTCTTCTAAAAAGGGAGATAGAAACTATTTGGCAAAAAATTTCAGGTTATTCCGCTTAACTTTTGACCCCTCAGTATCAGGTGGGCTTGGAGCCGAAGAGCTCTTGGAGAGAATGGAATTGAAACTGAGGTACAGAGAAAAGTGGCTTTTCCAAAAGTCACACATTGAAACTAGCAACTGGAAACCATTTCCCATGCCAGAACTTTGCTCATGTTTCTTCATCCTTCTATTTCTGGCAAATGAGGCATAAGAACGGTTTCTTCTTAATGGAACCTTAAAGTGTATAAACTGAATAGGAGACGGAGAAAAGGAGAGCTACTAAGTGGTGCAGTGATTAAGAGTTAGATTTGGAGACAGGGTCTATTACTCTGCTGTGTGACATTGAGCTTATCTGATCTTGAGTTTCTTTTTCTTCTGTAAAACAGGGTTACTGAATATTTACAACTCACAAAATTGATTGACTATTAAGTGTGAACGTCTATAAATCACCTGGCATGTAACAGGCGGATGTTACATCTCTGACTTCAATAAGTTCTTATTTAGTACCCAATTGCCAAAACCCTGTACTGTAACCTGGCTGTTTTCTTCTTGCCGGTGTTAGATAGTTGGAATTCTATTTGCATTATGATGCCTTACTTACCTGAGCAGGTAACTCATAGCAAATCACTCTTATCTTAGTTTTTTATAGCATACATTTTATTATTCTGCTTATATAATAAATAGCATATAGCTCATTAATCAGTGTGTGTGTGTGTGTGTGTACACATGTGTGTGTGTATGAGAGAGAGAGAGACATGGAGGTTCATTGTGTAGTCCAGGATAGTATCAACTTATCATCTTCCTGTTACAGCCTGCAGAGTACTGGGTTTAGAAGCATTCTCCACCATGCTCAGAAAAGTATAGTACTGTAATACTTGTAATTTCAAGCAACTTTTGATATGTCTTATCTTCCAAATAAATGAAAAGAATATTAGTTTCTTCTTCATTCTCCTTTTTTTCCTGTACTATTTCTGATCAACCATATAGACATCTTACCCTAGAATCACAATGGCTCTTGCATATAGGAATAAGAAAAAACAGCCTGTTGGAAAAAATCTACTTACCTAACCATATAATGTCTATATAATAAGATAAGACTCATGTGAAGACTAATTTCAAAGGTCTTAGAATGCATTTTTTTGAATTCCCATTTGAAAACTTGCTAAACAACTTACCAAGTCTAAAACCTTTTCCATAACTGTTCCCATGTATTGACCCTTAATGTCAAATAATGACTGTTTGAAGAAGTGTATTTATTTTTGAGGAAGACAGCATGGATTGTATGAGACTACATACACTTCCTAATGTGATGTTTAAAGGTCTCCAGGCATGAGCAGATAGGTACAGTTACACTGAAGAGGTAAGTGGTGAGGTAATGTTTTCTTCAAGGAAGAGTTAATAGCTCTCTCTGCCTGGAGGATAACTGAACA